AACCCTAATTTCCGGCGAATCCGTCGTCGAGCAACGAAATAATCCACCTAGTATCCGGTCTACTATATCGTCTTCCACTTCTATTGAGGCCTTGTCTTTTGATTGCTAATTTTTATGAAGAAAAAGATACCTGGGCTAGACAAGCCTGGAACCGACTCCCTTCTAATGGTTGATTTTTTTTCCAGTCCACTGGTGGTTTTATTGCAATTATGAGATATGCAAGTGCTACTCCCTTGCCACCATCCGTACTCAGCAGGGGTGTAGGTTGGCAGGTAAAAAGGCATTTTCCTAGAATCGTCCCTCCTGCTCCTTTTCCTCCCCGTTCTTTAGCAAAACAGAACATTGAATCGTGAATAATGTCTTCTAGTTAATGTGGATGTTTACTTGCAATCACCGTAGCTGCATAAAAGGCGGACCTTGGTGGTGGAAGTGGGAAGAGGTGGCAGGTCCAAGAGGGAATCCGTGGTGGTAGATGACGGAGGTGGGTCAATCTAGGCGTTAATGGTGGCGGGGGATCTGGTATGTTAGGGAACAAAGCGTGAGAGAGGAAGCATGAGATTTTATTTACACTAAGAAATTTTAATGGGATGGGGGAAGAGAATGGGATGTATCAAAGTAGAGAGAGGAAAAAAATAGTGTAACTGATTAGCGTATTTAGTGGCTTAGGGCTAGGAGATAACCAAAATTAAATATTTTGCTATAAACCTTAAAAGGTATTTATAGAATATAATTTTTTTAAATGATATTTATTTAATATAAATAAGGTGTTAACCTTTGCTATATGAGGTAAAAATTCCTAGAATCATCACCTTGTTTTATCGTTAAGGGTATTGGTGTAAGTGTAATGGTTAGGATACTTCAAGCCTTAAGTGAAAGTCTCGTATTCGAGTTTTGATGAGTCGTGCTTCAAAGTGAAATTCTTCTAAAATTCATTGCTCGATTTTGCTACACGAATGTAGTTTGATCTTGTGGTGTATTTGTTTGTAGTGAGTAGGGCTTCTTTCTCGTTGATTAATTAGTTCGCCTCCACTTTATTGAAATGTCAGAATTCCTACGATGTTGTTGTCAACAAACGCGTATCGGGCCGGTCAGCCTATTTACATCAGCTGGCAGGTGGGAGCGAGAAGGATATACTACTAGAAATCCGGGCAAAACCGTCCCTTTGGTTGGTAATGGCCAATAACCGTCCAAAATGCGACCATTTATGTGTGAACGGTATTTTAAATGTCGGAAAGGCATACCGACCAAAGTTGATTAAATTCAAAAAAAAATATTGCCTAAAAACCGACCAACTTTGGTCGGTTTTTTGACCAGTTTTTTGACCGATCAAAATTGGTCGTTCGATCGTGGTCGGTTCTTCTAAATTTCTAGTAGTATCGATGAGAATGGAGAAAATTTTATAGGGAGTGTTTCCTCTTTTAATAAACCTTATACAGTGCAATTCTAATTAGTAAGGATTCCAAAATGAGCATCCGATACTGCCATACCGGATAAATAAAAGAAAAAGGAAGAATCATTTTATTTAAGTTATATCAAGATATATTATCAAAAAAAAAAAGTTATATCTAGATGTGCATTATTTCCGTATAAAAGAAAGAAGTGTGACAAAGCAAAGCTGAGGCCCTGTGTCTTCCAACCATCCGTGAAAACTAGTAGCATAAAAAGAGAGAAGAGGTCACACATGGCAGTCTCTCTGCACCCATAACCTCTTCTTCTCTAGCAAACCGGGTGTTTGCATCACACTCGTGGTGCCAAATGTGCAAGTTAGACTTATTTTGGACGGGTCTAAATGGACTGACTGAATAAATGACCCGCCCCAAAAGTTATTCGGGCTGAAATGGACTGGGTTAAAATGAATTAATTTTGGGTCATAGTCTAACCCGTCCAACTCTTACCAAGGTTTAATTAATGCATGTTATTTTCTTTTGAATTGTTTAATTATCAAATAAGATTTTTTTGTTTTGTTATGGCCAAATATAATATATCAAAAAAAAAGTTATTTTAAAGATAATTTAGCAAAGTTACTCATGGATCAATTTGGGTTAAAAATTAGCCAAACTTTAGATAAGCTAAGATGGGTTGAGTCAAAGATTGATTGAGTTCAACAAATGGGCGGGTCAATGATCGGCCCAACCTTTGGCGGATTGTGCGGATTAAATGAGCTTGGGCTCAAATTGCCACCCCTACACCAGACTAGACTAACTGAGGGGAAGTGCACGGTTAGCCCCTAATAGCATATGTATTTACTTTTAAGCCACTGTTTAAAATGTCTTTAGTCTTTAGCCACTGCATTAATAAACTTTACCTGTCCGGACGAAAACACCCTTCTGCTCATAAAGTTCAGGACCAAGTGTCCTTAATTTTTGAACTTGTAACTCTAAGTTAAGGACTTCAGGACTACATGTTCTTAACTTTTGAACGTATAACTCTAAGTTCAGGATTTCAGGACTACATGTCCTTAACTTTTGAACTTGGAACTCGAAGTTCAGGACCACCTGTCCTTAATTTCTGTGTTTGTAACTCTAAGTTAAGGACTACATGTCCTTAACTTTTGAACTTGGAACTCGAAGTTCAGGACCACCTGTCCTTAATTTCTGTGTTTGTAACTCTAAGTTAAGGACTACATGTCCTTAACTTTTGAACTTGTAAGTCTAAGTTTAGGACCTATTGTCATTAACTTTTGCGCTTATTAGTCTAAGTTCAGGACCAAGTCTTCTTAACTTTTGAACTTGTTAGTCTAAGTTCAGGACCTATTGTCATTAACTTTTGCGCTTGTTAGTCTAAGTTCAGGACCAAGTGTCCTTAACTTTTGAACTTGTAACTGTAAGTTCAAGACCCATTGTCCTTAACTTTTGAGCTTGTTATTCTAAGTTCAGGACCAAGTGTCCTTAACTTTTGAACTTGTAACTCTAAGTTAAGGACTTCAGGACTACATGTTCTTAACTTTTGAACTTGTAACTCTAAGTTAAGGACTTCAGGACTACATGTTCTTAACTTTTGAACTTATAACTCTAAGTTCAGGACTTCAGGACTACATGTCCTTAACTTTTGAACTTGGAACTCGAAGTTCAGGACCACCTGTCCTTAATTTCTGTGCTTGTAACTCTAAGTTAAGGACTACATGTCCTTAACTTTTGAACTTGTAAGTCTAAGTTCAGGACCTATTGTCATTAACTTTTGTGCTTGTTAGTCTAAGTTCAGGACCAAGTCTTCTTAATTTTTGAACTTGTAAGTCTAAGTTCAGGACCTATTGTCATTAACTTTTGCGCTTGTTAGTCTAAGTTCAGGACCAAGTCTTCTTAACTTTTGAACTTGTTAGTCTAAGTTCAAGACCTATTGTCCTTAACTTTTGGGCTTCTTAGCCTAAGTTCACGACCTATTGTCCTTAACTTTTGAGCTTGTTAGTCTAAGTTAAGGACTTCAGGACCTATTGTCCTTAACTTTTGAACTTGTAACTGTAAGTTCAAGACCCATTGTCCTTAACTTTTGAGCTTGTTATTCTAAGTTCAGGACCAAGTGTCCTTAACTTTTGAACTTGTAACTCTAAGTTAAGGACTTCAGGACTACATGTTCTTAACTTTTGAACTTATAACTCTAAGTTCAGGACTTCAGGACTACATGTCCTTAACTTTTGAACTTGGAACTCGAAGTTCAGGACCACCTGTCCTTAATTTCTGTGCTTGTAACTCTAAGTTAAGGACTACATGTCCTTAACTTTTGAACTTGTAAGTCTAAGTTCAGGACCTATTGTCATTAACTTTTGTGCTTGTTAGTCTAAGTTCAGGACCAAGTCTTCTTAATTTTTGAACTTGTAAGTCTAAGTTCAGGACCTATTGTCATTAACTTTTGCGCTTGTTAGTCTAAGTTCAGGACCAAGTCTTCTTAATTTTTGAACTTGTAAGTCTAAGTTCAAGACCTATTGTCCTTAACTTTTGGGCTTCTTAGCCTAAGTTCACGACCTATTGTCCTTAACTTTTGAGCTTGTTAGTCTAAGTTAAGGACTTCAGGACCTATTGTCCTTAACTTTTGAACTTGTAACTGTAAGTTCAAGACCTATTGTCCTTAACTTTTGAGTTTGTTAGTCTAAGTTCAGTACCATGTGTCATTAACTTTTGAACTTGTAATTCTAAGTTAAGGACCAAGTATCCTTTAACTAATAGTTAGGTGGAAGGCTCACGAGGAATAGGATCAGGATTCACTATAAAAGTTTTTCCTAATGTCCAGATCAGCCATATCTTAGATTATGTCTTGAACAACTTTCTTCTAAAACTCTTTAATTACTACGAATACAGATCATGAAAATGAACATTTAAAGTGTCACATTCTAGAAAAGAACTGAAATATCGAGGAAAGAAAGTGAAAAAGGAACAAGTAGAAGCAAGGAAAGAATCTGAAAATTGCGTATCTATCCAACCTGTATTTCGTTTGGGAAGGAAAGGGTAACAACGTCCTTTCATATTAATTTTAATAAACTAGTGGTTATTTTTGCTCAGTATTAAAAATGTTGGATAAAAAGTAAATACCACTTTAAATAGTGACTACCCCATATAATTTTTACACTAACCGATGCAAGATATGTTTTTACACATACACATTTCAATTTAAATATGGTTAATTATTGCATATTTTTGCTTTATTATATTACTTAACTATAATAAATTAATATAGTTAAGTATAAACATCTTGTGTACACTTTCTCTATTGGGATTTGGTTTTCTAATGTGAATTGGATCAGCCACGTTGGAGTCTTCATTATAGTAATTTGATTTATTTATTTTTCACTTGTATTTCACAGGTTGGATTGAATCTAACGCAATCACAGCAACTTCTAGAGTTTATTTTGACTTTCATTTCAAGATCTACTTTAGATTCAAATTCCACTAATATATATGTTTTAAAAGATTTTTAAAAGTACCCTTTTCCACGGACTTTCTGTTTTCTCTTTTGACCACTTCTTTTCTATTTTCTTCTCATTATTTCCATTACTTCCTCTACTTACATTTTGTATCATCTCTTCTTTATGACCAGAAAATAGTAATTATGAAACTCCAAATTCCTTCTATCAGTGTACAATGTCCTCAAAATTTTATGTTTCAACCATTATCTACTCATTCATCTACTTCTCTTTTCTGTTTACCTTCTTCTTTTTCAGCAAAATGGGGTGCTAAAAATGTAAACCTGGCTATTTCTGTAAGATCAAGAAAATTCTTAAGGTATCAATACTTAGACAAAAATTTCTGTAAAAGTTATAGTAGTATACTACCATGTTGTAATTCTAATTCATGCACTTCTCTGTTCTGTTTACCATCTTCTTTTTCAGCAAAATGGGGTGCTAAAAATGTAAACTTGGCTATTTCTGTAAGATCAAGAAAATTCTTGAGGTATCAATACTTAAACAAAAATTCCTGTAAAAGTCATAGTAGTATACAACCATGTTGTAGTTCAAGATTATGTGCAGATTTTGGAGAAGAAAATTCTGAGGGATGTTCATATAAGAGTAAATATGGGGAAAAAGGGTCATTTTTGCAATCAGAATTTGAGTCCCTAGAGCCAAGAATGCTTGGTATTAAACCAGAACCACCATATTGGCCAGAAAGAGAGGCTATTTTATGGTTAAGTATTGAACAAAAGGCCAAGAGTTTTGGACTTCCTTTATCACTTAGAATGATAAAAAAGAAACATCAGTATTTACCCGTAAAACGGTACAGTTTTTGCTCAATGAAAAAAGCATTTTCCTCATTTGTTTTCATAATTGTGGAGTTGCAAACTTATGCATTGCAAATGAGAGAATCAGTATGCAATGAAGATTTGGAGATGATTATTGGTGAAGTACAGAGAGAAATGTATGCATCATTTATTTGGCTTTTTCGACAAGTATTTTGTCGTACGCCTGTGTTAATGATCTATGTTATGATCCTTTTGGCCAATTTTAGTGTATACTCTACATCTCACAATGTTGCTATTGCAATGCCACAAATGGAAATAGCCTATGATCATGTCAATACAATAGAAACAAGGGATTTGAGTAATTCGTCGACACTCTTCAAATATCCTCATATTTCTCAAGAATTGTCAAGATTTGAAGATCAAGAACTGAGGAACGATGAAGAGATAGAATTGTGGAACTCGATAGAGGATGAAGCCTTAAATATGAGAGGTTTAAGGGATGTTGGGCTTGATCATGAAGTCATGTTAAGATTTTTTTCGCCATTATCTGTGGAGATTGATCAAGATAACAGTGTTGAGTATTTTAAGACAGATCTTCTTTACCAGATGGCGCTGTCTCACGAGCCTTATAACACGCTTCTACTATGCAATTATGCACAGTTTCTGCAAGTTACTGCTCGAGACTATAATAGGTAAATTTCTTCATATTTCTCGAGTTATATAATGTAGCAGGCATTACACCCTGTGGATGTTGTTGTCCTATTTCATTTAGTGATTAAAAACTGTAAAATATGTTTCTAGTAATTTAATTCAATTGGAGAGGAGGATATGCTAGCTTTACTACATTGCTAAAATGAGTTTGTTGTTGTTGTTGTACTACATTGCTAAAATGGACAAGTAGCATTCGTCCCTGGACTTCACATGTGGGATTACACTGAGTTTGTTGTTGTTGTACTACATTGCTAAAATGGACAAGTACTATTCATCCCTGTGATTTGGTTGTGTCATTTCCTATGGGTTCACTACATCGCTCGAAGGGTAAAGTTGTCTCCATGTGCAAACGATAAACTTTACTACGTGTTTAGGGTCTAGGGTAAAGTTTACTACATGAACGGTAAAGCTATCTCTGTGTGACCTATAAGGTCACGGGTTTAAGTCATGAGATCAGTCATTGATGCTTGCGTCAAGGTAGACTACCTACATTATACCCCCTTGGGTGCGGCCCTTCCCCATACCCTGCGTGATGCTTTTTCTTCGGCCTGCCCTTTTATAACATGTTGAAGATTTCTTCATATTGAAAAGCCAAACCACTACAATGTGTTAAAATTGTCAAAAGTTAGTTGTTTGATATGTGCAATCCCTCAACAAGATTACTAGAGTATGCTGAAACTAGGATCCTGCGTGAACACTGAATGCCTTGCGTACCGGGCTGCCCTTTATACGATCTTAAGACAGTGGCTTGTTTCTTGTTACAGGGCTGAAGAGTGCTTCAAACACGCAGTTCAAGTGGAACCACCAGACGCAGAGGTCCTATGTCAGTACGCGAACTTCTTGTGGACAGTTAGGAAGAACTTATGGGAAGCAGAAGAAAGATACCAACAGGCCGTGGCAGCCGAGCCTAGGAATCCTTATTATGCATCTACATATGCCAATTTCTTGTGGAGCACTGGTGGTGAAGAGACCTGTTTCCTTCCAAGTATAACCCCCTTCAATGACAGAATGGGAAAAGAAGTTTAATCATAACAGAATAGATTATCCAAAGTTGTATCACGTTTATACTATTAACCTCCCAATGACATAGAAGATGGAAGAGGCTACAAAAATGCATTAACTACGAGGAAATGGTGATCTTATTATTCTTCTATGGTGTTATGGTACATGTTTACTACAGAGTGGAGAAGAAGATGCTCAACACAACAACACAGATAGAAGGGTGAAGCAGCGTCGTCTGTGTTGCAACGGAGAGTAGAAGTTTTTGTCCTGTATATTACAATTTGAATAAATGCTCTCGTGAATATCTTTTATTAGCACAACATAGTTATCTTTTAGATGACCTGATCGTACGAACACCAGTAGTTATCTTTTAGATGACTTGATAGTGTAAGTATTACACTGTCAGTGTATAGTAGTTAAACTCTTCAGGAAACGGAAGAAAGAAAAAGTTCAAGTTATATGGAAAGAGCATAACTTCTCTGGTTGTCTGGTGAAGCCTATGGCTAGGAGTTTGCCATTTTGTATCAATTTTGTGAGGTCTATATATAGTAGTGGATTTATCTCTCTTATCAATCTTGTGAAGTCTATAACAATAGTATTGTATTTTCATCTTTTTATATGGCTTACCTTTTCAATTTTGTGGCTTTTCAAAGTACCAACAGTAAACAACTAAACAACAACAACTACGCCTCAGTCCCGACAAGTTAAGGTCGGCTATGGCTATATGAATCATCACATCTTTCTTTAAGCTCAACTCAGGATAACAACTGTAAAAAATATTTTTAATTTATGATCAATTTTTTCAATACTAAATGATCTCAAGAAGTAACTACATAATTTAACATCTTGATTAGATTGCCCGTTCAACTTACAACAGTTTTATCAACAATACTATACAGAATTTCTAAAATTATGATCCTAACCCGGAACACCTTGATCTAAGATCCTGATTGAGCTTTCGCGAGCATTGTCTGTACTGTTGCAACCGAATCCACAGTGGACTTCAGTAACCAACTGATTCCTACTTTCACGCGGTGCTGATCAGTTGGTAATCTGATCAAATAGGCTACTTTTCTTGCAGTATGACCAACAAAACCTTCTAAGGTCAGCCCATCGGTGAAGCTTGGTGAAACAGCAGCGTCATGCCTGCCAAGAGTCATCATCTCACCTAAATTTTGATACCTAAAAGGCAACAGTGGACGGTCATTAATTGCGGCCCACAAATTCCAACCAGCAAAATCTGCTTGCTGGAAAGCAACTTGTGCAGTAGCCGGTAGCACCTTCCCATTTTCGTCCCTTAATGCAGAAGAGTCACCAACAGCAAATATACGAGGATGACCCTTGACACGAAGAGTTTCATCAGTTTCTGCTTGTCCCCTAGCGTTCAGAGGAATGTCGTAAGGTTTATCACTAGGTTCCAACTCAGGAAGTAGTGGCTTAGATCCAATAGTCCATAAAACTATATCTGCCGTTATGATCTGACCCTCTAAGCCCCTTTCAGCAGGCTGCAATTCAAGTATTATGCTTTCAGAATGATCAGCTGCTGAGTCCATGCTCTTAGATTCAGCATCAGAGGTCTGAGACTCAACTTCCTTTTTTATGCATCGGACAAAATAACCAAGTAGAAGTTGAACTTTCCTAGACAAAAGTACTTTTAGTGCTGCTTCCCTATTTCCTGCCGGAGCATTTGGCAAGACTGTCTTTTCAACATTAATTGCTTGTACAATACCCTTTTCTTTCAACCTTTCTGATATCGTGGCAGCTAACTCAACTCCACCATAACCACATCCAACCACTGCTACTCGTACTGCAGAGTCCTTACCAAAGTTCTTGCGCTCTAATTCCTTTAGCTTTTTATCAACCCTAAGAGCATCATCTAGGGTATAAAATGGCAAGGCATAGTCTGCGGCACCTGGTACGATATCAAGTTTGGCCTCAGCTCCTATAGCAAGGACCAACCAGTCATATTCTATTAGGAGACCGCTTTCGAGATGAACAGTCCCTGCTGTAGGTGCATTAGTTCCTAAATGGTCACATGGATATAGGCATTTTACCCTGTCTTTGAGGAACCGCACATCTGTATTGGCAAGCAAGTCTGAGAACTGTGGAGCAATTTCCCATGTCTCAACTTCTCCAGAGAGAAGTTCATACAACATTGGCTTAAAAACGAAACGTTCTGACTGGTCTATGAGGACTACCTGTGGTTTCTTGCCATCAGGCCAAACAAGTGATTCTAACCTCAATGCTGTATAAAGACCTCCAAATCCACCACCTACTATGCAGACCCTTGGCCGCTTGTTATCAGGCCAAATATAATTAAGACGTGGAGCATCAGCTGCAGCAGGAGCTTCCATGGTACTTCCGAATCCTGCGGTGGCGCTCAAGGCAACAGTGCGCAGTGATCTATTCCTCTTTGAGCTACCAGAACACCACGAACTGCTCCAAATCATGGGTAACTTAGGTGAACGTGTCTTTCCCCATCGCATTTGGCGGCAGCGGACTAGTGCAATTGTCGCTGAAGCAGAACATGCAAGAGCACACTCCATTGAAGCAATTGATATCTGATAGTAGCATGTGCAAACAGTGGCGAAGTCAGGAATTTCGCTAAGGTGGTTCAAACTTTGAGGAAGTAAATACAAAATTTCTTCGATGAATGGGTGCACTGACAATTTTAAATCAAACTGCGTAATATTTTGCTAAGTCGTAAAACACTTGTAATAGAACTAACAATATAAATCAACAAAGGAAAATCTACTAGTGAAAGCATAATTCAAATATGTTTTACAAGTATGCTCAACGAGGTTTTATCTCCTGGAATATATTTATGAGACTTATTGGAAATAGCACTAAATGGTTTTCTTTTTACATAAAGCACTACACAACCGTCTAAAAATCTATTTATCCATTCGGTTGTGCAAGGCATTCTTGATAACTTCATCTTAAAAAAGGCTCTTTCAATGGATGCAGTGGCAATTGCGAACTTGTTTTTGGTACTTTATGAAGATATTCGGGAGAAGGTGGGTGTGGCTCCCGTGGACGACAAGATGCGGGAAGCGCGGCTTAGATGGTTCGGACACGTGCGGAGGAGAAGCCTAGATGCACCGGTTAGGAGATGTGAGCGGTTGCTTTGCCAGGTATGAGAAGAGGCAGAGGGCGGCCTAAGAAGTATTGGGGCGAGGTGAGCAGGCAAGACATGACGCGGCTTCAGATTTTCGAGGACATGACTCTTGATAGGAACATGTGGAGGTCGAGCATTAGGGTGGTAGGCTAGGGGGTAGTCGAGAGTTCTTCTCTCTTTGTACCGGGTAGTCTGATAGAGTTTTGTTTAGGTTTGTTAACGGTCTATGTTGTGTTCACATTGTTGTTTTGCGTAGTTTTGTGCTATTGTCCTTTCACTTATTCGTTGTTGTTATTTTCTTTCTGGCATCTTTTGTTGTTACATGCCTTTTCTCTTGTTTCTTTTCTGATATTATTGTCTCTCATGTTGAGCCAAGAGTCTCCCGGAAACGGTCTCTCTACCTTTTTCGGGGTAGGGGCAAGGTCTGCGTACACTCCACTCTCCAGACCCCACTAGTGGGTTTTACTGGGTATGTTGTTGTTTTTTGGTACTTTATGATAATGTTTCTCCAAGTTCATTGAAACTTCGAACTGAAATAACTTATAAAGCGCATAATGTTTATCAAGCTCTCAATTCCTTTTCTCTAACAAGTAAACCAGTTTCTTATTGAACCATCAACATTTATCAATTAACTGATTTATAGGATATCGTTCGATAACCAAAAGGAAAAAGAAAGTAAAAGCACATTTCACCCACAAATCAAACTCGTAAGACTTCAGATAGGTGTATTTCCTGGGTTAGTTGTTAATTAATTACCAGCTTATTTATAACTATGGTGGATATTTAGAGCAGTAAAGAAGTAGAGTTGAGCTGTACTTGAAAAGCCAATGGTTCCAAGTGCAACAAATAGTTAATTACAACAGTAAAGGCACTTCCTCTATTTTGTGGCGAACAAGTAAAGGATCAAATTGAATATATATTACTGTGAGGTTCTCTACGAAAGACAAGATGAACGTATAATCTCTACCTAAAGAGAGAATAGAATCGAACCTCAACGGAGACTGCCGGAGAATCGAACTAGCTTCACAGAGTCCGGCGACGGCGAGACTCGAGTGGCTCTGGCGAGTTGCGCCTGCTGAGCAATGGCGAAAAGTTCCTTTTTTTTTTTCTTCAAAAGATAACTTACGCCTCTTATGGCATTTTGACATCCTTCACCGTTGGCCGCTGGGTCACCACTCACCTGTTTCAATTATGTGTTAGGTGTTCAAAATTTATTACATTTGTATAAAGTAATGCTTTTTATTTTTTATAAAGTAATATTTGACTTATGTTATAAATATATTATATTTCTGTTGTAAATAAGCTTCTGAAGAAGCTTATTCATATGGGACTCCGCCGTAAATATGTTTATCAATTTAGTACTCTATTGGAAATAAGCCTCCTAAAGAAGCTTATTCATATGGGACTCCGCCGTAAATATGTTTATCAATTTAGTACTCTATTGGAAATAAGCCTCCTAAAGAAGCTTATTCATATGGGACTCCGCCGTAAATATGTTTATCAATTTAGTACTCTATTGGAAATAAGCCTCCTAAAGAAGCTTATTCATATGGGACTCCGCCGTAAATATGTTTATCAATTTAGTACTCTATTGGAAATAAGTCTCCTGAAGAAGCTTATTACTTCGGTACCCAGTTATGGATAAATATTACCCCGATAGAAGATTATTTATACCGGGTATAATAAGTTTATCCTTTCGATACTCCGTTATGGATAAACATTATCCACGGTAGAATATTATTCATACCGGGTACAATAAGCTTATTCTTTCAGTGCTCCGTTATGGATAAACATTACCACAGTAGAAGATTATCTATACTTGGTACAATAAGCTTATCCTTTTAGTATTCCGTTATGGATAAGCATTACTCTCAGTAGAAGATTATCCATATCTGGTATAGTAACGGCATACACAACAGCTTACAGTAGCAGCTGACACAGCAGCTTCCTTTCTTCTATAAATAGAAGAAATTTCAGTTCATTATGTACATCAGTTTGAATTCGAATAATATATTTGTTTCTCTCTATACTTGTCTTTACTTTACAGTCTTTATTTTATAATACGTTATCACCACGAGACTCTGTCATCTCGAGCAAATACTTTGAAAGTATCTGAGGTACGAACTTTCTTTTTCTATATAATGTGAGATCTTTCTAAACTTGAATTTGTAGCCCTGGATATATCGGGGGGCAAAAGCTACATGTCTTGGGTGTTTGATGTTGAAATTCATCTTGATGCGATGGGTCTAGCAGACACCATCAAGGATAAAAACTAAGCATCAAACCAAAACCGTGCCAAAGCAATGATATTCCTACGCCATCATCTTGATGAGGGCCTGAAAATAGAATATTTCACTATTAAAGATCCAGTCATACTATGAATAATTTGAAAGATAGATATGACCACCTGAAGATGGTCGTTCTTCCACAGACACGTTATGATTGGACTCATCTA